CATGCTGAATTCAGACTCACAGTTAGCTCTGCAGGCAGTTGGGGTGGGCACAGCTGAGCCTTGTGCTGTGCCACAAAGGAAGAAATGAGCTGTAACCGTGTCCCCAACGCTGTCCCCTCGCCAGAGGTTCACCCAGAGCATGAAGCTGGACAGTGAGATGGAGAGGCTCACCCTGGAGCATGGCACCATGCTGGGCCCTCCCACCGAGGAGGAGCGTGCTGAGGAGGCTGCCAAGAAGAAGCTGACCAACAAGGTGGGACACTCTGGCCAGGGTGGCCACATGCAGGTAGCCCTTCTTGGTTTCTAGACCACCTCTGGCCCCAAAACCACAATTTTTGTGGCATTCTGGGCAGTGTGGAGCTCTGCTGGAGTTCTCAAAGCCTGCTTTGAAGACCCTGTCTCCCACTGCAGTCCCTGCACTGGTGTTTGAGTTTTACTTGTGTTTTCAGCTGTGCAGAGCCACATCCAGGCTTTGAAAATGCCAGCACTTCACCATTCCCAGAGTGTGAGCAGCGCTTTTGCACTCCATGGCTTTCATACCTGGGGGATGTGGCTTGTCCATATTTCTCTGTCTGGATGCACAGGGGATTCACTCTGGCTGGCAGATCCTGCTGTCCCTCTGGCACATCTGCATCAGCCCTGCAGTCACAGAGCTCCAGAGATCACAGCCTGTCTTAGGAAACACACATTTTCTGCCTGCTGGCTTTTCCTCCTGCTTGAAAATGAGCAATGGCAGCATTTATCTGTGGATAACTCAGCTGGGATCTGCTCTGGGCTTCTCCCAGGCTGGGCACAGCAGGGCTGTTAGCTACCAAGGACTTGGAAAGGTTTATTTCAGAGTGAAGTTTGCTGGCAGTGCTTTTGGGTGGGTTAGGGATTGGAGGGAATCACTTTGTGCAGATCAGCACCCACATGGGGCCACTCTGCCTTTGTCTTGGCAGCTTTTAGCAGAGCATGCTGACAGCCTGCACCTCACATCTGGCTTTGAAGCCACCATCAACAAGTTTGACAGCAATTTCTCCACACATCTGCTGGACCTGCTGGACAAGCTGAGCGTGTACAGCACCAATGACTGTGAGCACAGCATGCTCAACATCATCTACAGGTGAGCCAGGTCTTCTCTGTCTGTGAGTTCCCCTCCCCAGGTCCCAGGTTCAGCTCAGGAAATGCTCATTATAGCTGAGAAATGTGTTTATTTAGGAGCTCTGAGCAGCCTGGGCTAGAGGAAGGTGTCCCTGCCCATGGCAGGGGGTTGGAATGAGATGGGCTTTGAGGTGCCTTCCAACCCAGACCATTCTGCTTTGCATTTCAACCCTAGGCTTTAGGAAACCCCAGAACATTCCTTTGAATTGTGTGAAATTTGTCCATTAATATTATAAATGTAATGTTAGTTTTCCTGGGGATTGTCTCGCTGTGGAGACAGTGAATAAACCAATTTCCAACTACAGGGTAAGCATTCCAAGATGAGAAAATCATGCAAAGGTTTGATCATAAAGTGTCTATTTTAAGTTCCCATATTGCATTCATTTCAATAAGCATCTTCTTGGAAATGAAAATTCCTTCAGAAATACATAAAAGTCAGGTACACAGGATGGGAGGGGAGAGAAAGCAGATGGAAGTTTTGCTGCTGGGTGTTGCTTTTTCAAGAAAAAAAACCCTGGATGTTCTGCCCTCTGTCCATCTGCACTGGATATCTTTTCTGGGTGGCTGATGACCCCCACAGCTCTGTTGAGATGTGCTACACCTGAGAGCAGAGAGAGAGGGAATGTCTCACAAATGTTTTTTAAGGAGATTGTTGTCCCCTCCTGGTGCTGCTTCTGACAGCATCTGTCAGGGCTGTCAGGGTTGCTGGTACTTTGCAAACCCTTGTTAGGTGAAGTGTTCCCACAGGAGACTGTGCTTCCACTTGTCCTTTTCTTCTGGGAGCTTCTTGTCCTGCAGTGCCCCAGGGCTGCTTGGTGTTCTGAGCCCTCCTGCTTTTATCCGTCCCCTGTCAGGGGAGCATTGCCACCCCCTGTGGGTGCTGCTGAGCCCATGAAGTGGGAATGTGGGTGAGGAGCCCTTCTCCACAGCCCTAAGAATTCAGGTTGGCTCCAGCTCTGAAGTAACCAGAGTCAGAGGTCTTCTCCTCATCTTGGAATTCCTCCAAAAAACTGTTTGTGTGGCTGTGGTTATTGTTCCTTTCAGGACTAACCAGGGGACCCAAATCTCTGCAGGACCTTTTGGGAGAGGCTGCTGTGGCTTCTCAACATTTCATGTCACCCTTCATGTGCCTGGAGATCCCAGTTCATCATCATCATCATCATCAGGCTGTTGAGGTTCCAGGCAGGATCCATCTGTAGGAAAGGCTGGCAGGATTCAGCTCTCCCTGTTCCCTGGCTGCCATCACTGCCTGGTGTCACAGCAGCATCCAGACTGGGGCTGGATTCAGGGATTGGGGCCACAGGCAGCTGAGTCACCCAGGCAGGAGCATTCACTGCTCCTCAGTGCTCCAGCTCTCCTCCTTTATCCTTTTCTATAAACATTTTTCCCATCTCTAATACAAGTTTTAACAGAGGGACTTGTACATGTTCATGTTCATGCTCATGCTCATGACTTCCCCATCCAGGAGATCTTGATGGCAGCTCACCCCATGATCCCAGGGCACAGGGAGCATGGCCAGCACACTGCTGAGGACCAAATTACCAACTCTGTCATGGTGGGAATGTCACACACGTGCCAGGACAGTGGGACAGCCTGGCTGTGTGTCCTGCCCAGGGTGCCACAGCAGGAGCTGCTCCATCAGTGTCACAGCCCCACTGGGGCTCAGCTGGGGCCAGCAGGTGACTCCTGAGCTGTGAAACCTCTGCAGCTGCTGCTCCCAAGCACAGAGAGGTTGGGTTTTGCAAGCAGCACTTCCTGCTTCAGGAGAAAGGAGAAGTGATGGTGCAGATGATGCAGTGCTGCTGTCTGTGGTGTGTGCTGTGGACAGTGACCCAGCTGCACCCAGAGGCTCAGAGGAGGGTCTGGCTGCTTTGCCCTCCCTTGTTCCCATGTCCCTGTCCTTATGCCACCAGGGCTGTCACCACTGTCAAGTCCCTCCCTAGTCTGGACTCTCTGGGACCACTTGAGTCTTCACCAAGGCATTGGAGCTGCTGGACCTTTCCTGTCAACCCAGAAATCCTGGGTGTGAGCAGCCCATGGAGCCTTTCCTGTCAGATATCCCCAATTCCTCAGCAGAATTCCTGGGTGTGA